AGTCAACAGGATCAGGATTTATTAAAGGAATAAAAGTGTGGCTCCAAGTCAGGCCCAGATTTATCTTACTCACATAGCTTCACTCCATGAAGAATAAACACTAGAGCAGGAGTTTTGGGATCGTCCCTTGATACACATTTTCCTACAGAGAAGTACCTGTGTGGCTGTTCTGCTGTGATACTTAGTGCTTTCAGCCCCTTGGCAGTCTGAAGGTCCTGTGTGTCACCCTGCCTGTGTTACTCTCTGCCTACTATACAACATCTGGTCGCCTGGGCCTGACAAAGGATTAAATTCTAGAGCTCATGCCCCAAGGACTTTCCTTGTGCTTTCCACAAAACTGCTATTTTATTTTTTAAACTCTTGTTTACTTGTAAATCCCATTGGTCTTTCTAGCCCAGGGAGAGACTACTGGGACAGTCAATGTGAGGGCAGTTTAATGGGCGTTTATATAAAAGGGATCTAAGAATATCAATGGGGGAAGGGAAGCTTGTGCTCTGAAATAAATATGTGAAAATGTGGGGAATACCTACGAAGAAGAAAGCATTGGCCATGGGAACAAGAAGAAGGGGATAAAGTGAATGGCCAAGCAACAGTTTTGCAATTCTGCCTTGGAAAGGTAAGCGACGGGGAATACAGAATCTACCGGCTTTAGAAAAGGCCTCCACATCTCCAAAAAAAGCAGGGGAGTCTCAGGAGGCAGGGTCAGCAAAACCGCCTTGGAACACTTGCCTGGCCAGGTCCTCCTCTGATCTGACATAGAAGTCCCAAGGGCAACGCTAACACTAATAAGGCAACATTAGGAAAGCATTCTTGGCTTCCTTGGAAACATCTCCTTTAATGAGTCCAAACTAAATACATTAATAAACAGTACCCAAGGCTTTTCTTATACCAAGTATCCTAGTCTCTGGAGCCAGTTACATTTCTGGGAAGGAATGAATAGCTATGTCTTTATTAGGTTTCTCATAACTGGTACAGATGTCAAAAGATGAAGAAAAATATTGAAAAAATCCAATATCAATTACTTTTAATTTTTCTGCATGTGGCCTTATTTTATTGATGAAGTGCACATAATCTGGTTTTCCATGAGAGCACAGACTGAAAAATCTCTGAGCTGAGCTCCCACCCTACACTTAATTCTTCACTTAATCTTCGCCATCTTCTATTAAGATTCCATGCCTCGCCTGCCCCACAGACTTCTCCACGAAGCACCTTTAAAGTTTGGGCATCTGAATCACCTTAGGTCATATTCAAACATGGACTATTGCTGATGGGGGCAGAAGAGTAAACTATCATTTTAATGTGCTATGAAATATATTTATCTTTTTCATTTTAAGTAATTCAATTGAAGATGAAGAATTATAGTTTATAAGAAACAGCTTGTAAAAAAAAAACAAGTTGAGAATTTCTAAGATGCCATAGCCAAGAGTTAGATATTTTATCTATGATTTTATGTGAATTTTGGACCTGCAAAAGAGTTTTGACTTGAGTATGCAGTCTAAATACTTCTTTGTAACCCTAGCACCCACCATTCCTACCCACTCCACTAAATTTAACTAATCGAAGTTACCTTACTATCAAGCATCTGATCAAAAGGAGTCTATAATATGATAAATGTACCTTAATGTTAAATAACACTTTATTGTTTGCACAGTGGTTCAACAAGGAAAGACTGATGTTTAAAGGCGTAACAATATTTGAATTCGACTATTCAGAATACTAGAACCACCATTCAAAATTTAAAAGACAAATGAAAAGAATATTATCGCACAACTAATATAAAACATTCATCTCTCTAGAGAGACCCCTACCTACTAGTTACCAAAACAACAGTATTTACCATGGGATATGAAGACCAGTGAAGGTCCTTACAAAGTTATGAAAATCGAACATTCATGTGACATCAGCAGCATATGAGAGGTAGAGGCTCAGAAAAGGAAGTGGATTCCAGAGTATGCATAGCCCTTTTGCTTAGACGGATAGGAAAAAAAGAAAAAAAAAAAAAAAGAGTGAACAATGTCCTAAAAACTCTAAACAAGTAGAGTGCCTTTCCCTCAACCGATTTCCAATGATTAATACTGTTTTTAATTAAATGGGAACAGATAAAGCGTTGAGGATCTAAGGACCTCATTAGATCACTAAAAAGCAGGTTTTAGCCAAAGCCACAGGCTGCCTCCCTGTAATACGACATTATACCTAGAAACGTCTGACATCCTGGAACTTTTAACGAGCACTCCTAATCTCTTAACAATTTTTAAATGTCATAATTTTCACTAATGTTGAATTACACATTTTAGGGAGGCAGAAGAGCAGAGTGGCAAAAAGTCCAGGCATACCTACTCACCCACACACTCGATTTCTCTCTGCAGCCAGAAACAAAATGCATCAATTACTATTATCAACAGTACAGGTATTTCCATAAGTAATTTTTAATATCGAAAAGAAAGCAAAGTGTTTTCTCTCCTTAAACATGACCTTTCCACAGGAATCTAAGCCACTTAACTTAGGAGTAGGAAAACGCACCAGCCTAAATTAATCCTTTCCAGTTTCCACTGCACTGTTTAATCCAAAACCACCTTTTAAAAGCGCATAGGTCACCGCTTATATTAAAGTGACAAAATATGAAATTAAACATTTCTTATCAATAGTGATCCTCTATTACACTGTCAGAGATGGAATTCCAAGTCACAGCTCAAGCTTTTAGTCAAACTGACAATTACAATGCAAATATTCAGGCTCTAGTTTCTCAAAGAGGGGTGGGAAGCAATCTTCCTCGCCCTCTTTTCTTTGTAATTTTGTTCATTCTGCAAAGAGAGAAGAAAATAAGTACAGAAAATTTCTCTAATTTTTTTCTTGCAAAAAAGAACAATTGTCTCCTCAGTACTATTCTTATGCTACCAGATGCAATTTGCTTTGAGAACAAATGTATAAAAATCAAGGTTTAAAAAAGGCTACCCACATGCTGTATCTAATTATTCAACAAAATATCCTCTTCGAAGTAATTACCAACTAACGAGGGTATGCCTCCTTTTGTTAAATGGAGGAAAATGGAATTTTAGAAAACAAAAGCAGATTTTTCTATTAGCTTACATTTATAATTTCAGGGTTGTAATTCTTGTTCCTAATTTTCAATTGGCAGTTTTTACCTTAAAAAATTTTTTTAATCTGCCCATAACTAAAGATTAATGATCTTAAGCACACATGAGTGGATTTGTAGAACATCACTTTGAGAGAAAATCATTTGGGAAAAGAAAAACATCCTTTTGTTTTTAATCTTCATTTCCTTTTGTTTCTAATTTTTTATATTTTATGTATAGATCTAAGAAACATTTAAAGAAAATTTCAACAAATTTATTTTCTATAATAATATTACCAATGTAAAAAAATGAGAATTCACAAATCTACACCAATAAAAATGAATGAAATGAATGAATGGAGAAAAAGACAAAGTCCTTCCTTACAGTAGGATTCCAACTAATAAATATAAAAGAAATGATGGATTTTTTTTTAAATTGCCATCAAGCATCACTTATAATAATTGTCACACAAGAATCAACAATAGATGCTAAAATTTATGGGTATAAGAAGAAATAGGTTATTTTCAAGTCTCAAAGAGTATCCCCATAAAATAAACAATTAAAAAGACATAATGGTAACTTTACGGTGCATAAACCTGGCAGGCAACATCTTAACCAAATGTTCAGTGTTCACCAGTAATGGGACAAATCGACATTTCATGCCTCCTGACACGATATCCTGGGAGGGGGCAGCATCGGTTCTCTGGGTTTCCTACCAAAAGTCCATGACTTGAATTTAGTCATGAGAAAACATCAACAAACCCAAAACGAAAGCCATTCTAACAAAGTAACTGGCCAGCACTCTACTAAATTTTCAAGGTCATGAATGACAAAGACAGACTAAAAGTCTGTTCCAGATTAAAGGAGACTAAAGAGACATGACAGCCAAAGGCTGTATGTGATCCTGTATTGTATCTTGGACAAGAAAAGGACGTTAGTGGCAAAAGTTGAATAAAACCTATAGATTAAATCATAGTATTGAGCAAATGTTAATTTCCTGTGATTATGGAAATTATGCCATATTATTTAGGTGTAAAAGTATTTACTTGTGTGTGCAACTAATTCAAAACAATTTGTGTGTGTGGTGTGTGTGTGTGTGTGTGGATGTGTATAGAAAAAATGATAAAGCCGGTCTGGTAAAATGTGAATATTGGAGGAATGTAGGTACAGGATATAGAGAAATTCTTTGTTCTAAATTTTCAACTTCTTCATAAGCCTGAAATTTCAATATAAAAAGGGTATCAAAAGGGTAAGTGACCTCTATATTTAAGTGGTTTGATGACAGTCTAGTCCAGGGGTTGGCAAACTTTTTTCTATGAAAGTCCAGAGAGTCAATATTTTAGGCTCTGTGGGCCATACAATTTCTTCCACAACTACTCAACTCTGCCATTCTGTCACGAAAGCACCCAGACAGATTGGAAATGAATGGGAATGGCTGTGTTCCAATAAAATTTTATTTACAAAAGTAAGCAATGGGCCAGATTTGGTCCATTGGCCATAGTTTGCTAACCCCTAATTCATGTCAAGAAAAATTAATCAGAGTAAAATTATACTTTCAGTTAACATTTTTTGAGTACATGCCAGACAGTAAGTATATTAAGTGCCTTACTGGCATTAGCTCATTTATCCTCACACCAATTTGATTAGGTAAATACTATTATTATTTCCATTTTCCACAGAGAAAATGAGCCTAGAGAAGTTAAGGAACTTGCCCAAGGTCACACAGGCAGCAAGCAGCAGACTCTGGGTTTGACCCGGATCGGGCTGTCTTCACTAAACTATAACCGATCCGATATACCATACTTCTCATATGGACTGAATTATACTGTCACATGCAACAAACTAAGGAACTTTAACCATTTTAACAATGGCTGAACAAATGTCCAAACTCAAGGTTAACATCTGGAGAAGGTGTTTTTCACAAACCTCTTGCAGCTGCAAAGAAATAAGTCCCAGTTGATCCTGGCGTCTTTCCACCAGCTCTCTTTCTGTGCGCATCTCTCTTTCTATTTCCTGAAGCCGTCGCTCCACCCGATCTGAAGCCTTAACATGAACAAACAGAAATGGTGACATTAGAGAGCTGTTAGGAAGAAAAAAAAAGACTAAAATTGAAGAGATATTTTATACCAGATGCAACTACTGTCTAAAGCATTTAAGAGTGGCGTGTTTCTAGAGCCCTTTTTCATGACACAATTATAAAACAGATCACAAGAAAATTGGCTGGAAGTTATAAAAGAAAATAATTAGACTCCAAATAATCCAAACTGTATCCCAATAAAGGACTTACGTTTTTCAAAGTACAAAATATTAATTCAATAGATCAGAACAAAAAGTAATAAACTAGAAAAGAGTGCCCTCTGGTGAAACAGAAGGAAAACAGCAATTTTGCAAACGACTGCATTTATTACTCTGGTAATGATAAACTACTTTATCTATTTAGTTCTTTATCATTTTAATTATCTTTAAGCACAACTTGCCTAGGAAGATTTTGATGTTTATGTGTGGCAAATAATTAAAAGGGCTTTTCATTAGTTTGTCAATCTTTTCTACTGTGATCTGCTAAAAATAAATCAGCTGTAAAAGATCAAAAACTAAAGTCAAACTGAAAGATGTTTAATTGAGACTCTCTAAAATGACATGAAAGATTTTTTTCCTCTCTCATGCAAGACTTTCCTTGCTAAAATTTGGGCAAATTCAAAAACACTTCACGTGTTACCATTCTATAGTCCCCTAAAATAATGTATACTATCTGACGATGTGTATATTTGGTGCAGGTGGACAGAAGACATTTGTATTCATTTAAGAGAAGCAATAAATACAGCCCTGTTATAAGAAATCTTTTGCCATCATTTCTCTACAGCCAAGAAAAGTCCTAGTCACCAGGGATCTTACTGGGGCAATGGTGATGGCTGCACCACTTGGTACATTGACTAAAAATCATTTCACTGTACACTTAAAACAGCTTAATTTTATAGTAAATTATACCTCAGGTCGAGTTGTTCTTTAAAAACACATCGTTAAACATAAATTTAATTATTCAATGAAGGCTAGGCAAAAATATTCTCTCAAAAAAATTAGCAGTTAATATTTACTAAGCTTGATAAGTCTGGCATTTCAAACTTCTAGTGCTTAAAAATTATTAAGATACACACTATGATATTCACAGTTCTTTACCAAAAACTCAAAATACCCTTCAGCATCAAGCTTCTAATTTATCCTGATGAACCCTAGTATTCCAACAAACAATTTACTACTGTATCTGAAATAAATACAGTACCTGATGTAATAGAAAGAAAATTTGGATAAATATTAAAAAATAAAAGTTGTTAATTTGTTCAATTTTTACAAAATGAAAATATCTTTATTCTTCATTGTGAATATAAAAAGTAATAGCAACACACCAAAAAAATAAAGCAGAACCACCTCAAACTCCTTAGAAAAATGGCTACTATCAAAAACAAACAACAGAAAATAACAAATGTTGGAAAAGAGAAGAAACTGTAATGCTGGTACATTGCTGGTGGGAATGTAAAATTGTACAGCCACTATGGAAAATGGTATGGTGGCTCCCTAAAAAATTAAAAGTAAAATTACCATATGACCCAGCAATGCCATACCTAAGTATAAACCTAAAAAAATTGAAAGCAGGGCCTCAGATATTTGCACACTCATGTTCAAAGCAGTATTATTCACAACAGCCAAAAGATGGAAGTGACCCAAGTGACTCCTGACAGATGAACAGATAAACCAAATGCAGTTTATACACGCAACGGAATATTATTCAGCCTTAAAAAGAAAATTCTGACACAGATGAACAGATAAACCAAATGCGGTTTATACATGCAATGGAATATTATTCAGCCTTAAAAAGAAAATTCTAACACATGCTACAACGTGAATGAACCTTGAAGGCATCATGCTAAGTGAAATAAGCCAGTCACAAAAAAAAATTCTATACCATTCCACTTATATAAAATACTCAGAGTCAAATTCATAAAGACAGAAAGTAGAGGCAGCAAGCCTAGGAAGGTTCTGATATTTTGAATGGGGACTTGTTGCATAACAGGTATAGTTTCAGTTTTACAAGATGAAGAGTCCTGGATTTGGCTGCACAACAATGTGAATGTACATAACTCTATGAACTGAACACTTAGAAATGGCTAAGATGGAAAATTTTATGTAATATATGTTTCATCACTATTAAAAATAAACAATACAGGATGATAAGAAGAAATAAAAATAATGGGCTAATACCATCCATTAAAAGAAAAACACTGTTTTCTGTTGAATATTTCCAAGGATTTTTCTATGCATATATGTATGACTGGTCAAATACATATTCATTTCATTTCTTTTTTTGAATAAAAATTGGGTATTTCACATATGTTTTATAAAATTTTTACAGTTCACATATCATGGACTTTTCATTACAATAAATAAATCTACATATTCATTCTTAACAAATGCAAAATTCTCCATAATTGATTGAAATACTTCCCTATTGATAATGGGATATCATTTATTTTGACTAGACTATGCTGTGACAAACACTCCTATATAAGATTATTTCTGTAAACTAAAGGTACATCCTTTAAGTGAAATTGTTGAATCAAAAGGTATGAATCACTGATGAAGTAAGTTATTAACTTGGGATCACACAACTAAAGAGAAAAACAAGCTCAGTACAGGTCTCCACTTCTGGCAGTATCTTGTAATGCCAGGTCCATTTTCATGCATTCATTCGGTAAGCATGCACAAACACTTTTGTTCCAGATATTATGCTACGTAGAGGTTAGGGATAGAGCAATACACATGCTATATCCACAGAACCTGCCTTCAAATAGCTTGCTATCTATTGAGGACTGACATTGAATGAGTAGTTAGAATTTCTGTAGCTAAACTGAATGAGTTGAATGACTTCGATATGTGAGGCAAGAAGGTTGCACTTATTAGAATCCTACTGAAATTAAAGCAGCTTAAGTAACCAAAAACCAAAATCAAAATCTAAAATTATTTAGACATTTTCTACTTCACCACCACCATAGCTAGTACATGCAATGATGTATGATTACTATATTTGGAGGATTTCCCCTCAGTTTTGAAATAATGTTTGTGTTGGCAGCTTCTGACACGACTTCAATGGTCCCAGCTTCCTGGTATTCACGTACTTGTCTAATTTCCTCCTCTTGGGTGTGGACCAGCCCTAGTGACCTCCTTCTAATGAACAGAACACAGAGAAAGTGATGAGATGTCTCTTCCATGGTTAGATTACAAAAAATTGTGATTCCATCTTGCTAGCATGCTCCCTCCTGCTGGCCCTCTCTCTTGCATTCTTGCTTGCTTGTTCCAATGAAACAAGCCGCAATGTTGTGAGATGCTCTGTGGAAAAGCCACGTGTCCAGGAAACAAAAGAGCCCTCTGGTCATGACAAACTGATACTTCAGCTCAATAATCTACAAGGAACTAAATGAGCTAGGAAGTAAATTCGTTCCAACCAAGACTTGAGATGACTGCAGCCTGCGAGAGACCCAGAGCCAAAGGAGCCAACTATGCCATGCCTGGATTCCTAACCTACAGAAACTGCCAGATAATGAATGTTTTAAGCCAGTAAATTTGGGAAACTTTGATATGCAGCCATAGATAACTAATGTAATTTTTTTTATCTGTTTTCAAATAAATCCTCATCTAGGAAATAAATTAGATAGTCTGATGAAGAAAAATTTTTTTTCTACTCTATCCACAAAATTTCTATCTATTCCACAAAATTTTGTTTTCTATTTTAAAATACTATTATTTTGACTGGTATTAGAATTCTCTGTAATCCGGTGACAGATGACCATCTCTTTACGCCCAGCAATGCCACATAGTGGCCTTGTGATTAGCCTTCTAAATGAAGCGCACCACTTTTTGAGCTGTTCAAGTAATTTAATCTCTCAAGAAATCAAGATCATCAGCCATAAAGTGGGGTTAATAACTTGCCCTGCTCGCCATATATAGAGTGGATCAAAGAGTATAAAAGTAGTGGGACAAAAAATATAGATGATGTGGTAGCAACTAACAGTTGTTTTCCAATATCTACTCCCCATCCCTATTTCTTCCATAATAAAGAAATTTTTAACTAGACAGGTGGCTGCCAAATAGAAACAATATATTTTTTAAGCCACATGGCCAGCTGCTGTGACTTAAAATTCTAGCAAATAGGATTCATGCATAAGTGTCAAGTGACACCTTCAAAAAACTATCCACAAGAGATAGCACATGGGTATCTTTTGTTCTCATACTCATTCCTTTCTCCATCTTGCTGTCTGGTACACAGATGCTGCCATCTAAAACCATGAATTTGAGGCCATAACAGCAGGAGAAAAAAAAAAAAAAAAAAAGAAAAGCATGACAGAAAGAGCCAGAATCCCTTACATGTTATAGATCACACAGTACCACGTAGAACCCTGAACTCCATACTTAAGACTTTTTCCATAAGAGAAATAACTTTTGTCTTTTTTAAGGCGCTGTTAATTAGAGATTTTCAGTAATTTACAACTGAAACTGATATTGACTGAGAGAGAAGCACTTAGAGAACTGAAAATGCTAAGCAGGTCCCACTACTGCCTTACTTCCATTGGAACATGGGGAAATCATAATATCCTTGCCGTTTCATTCAAGTCCAAAAAAAAAACTAAGTAATAAAATGAATAGACATTATAGCTAGTACTTAGCAAGATAAAACATATACACAAACTAGCATGACTGAAAATGAATAAAATACAAAGTACTTTATGATTTCCAACAAGTAAAATTATAGTCATCCTGTAAATCCACCAAAGTATCTTTATAGACCAAATCGTCCAGGTCAATATGCTCAATATATTTCTCTTTCTCTACTGCTAATACCCCAAAGTCACACAACTCCAACTAAGTCAGCAACAAGCAAGGATCTATAATGTGCATTTGGAGAAACCTAGTTTTGTCTTTTCTATTCTTTCTCATCTATTTCTATGATACATTTCTGTATTAGTTAGGGTACAATCTAGGCTCTTTCAAAGAGA